AACAGAAGAAAGGTGATATTTCCTGTGACGATCCCAAAGGAGGCTTCTCCCTGTCTCCCAACACTAGGTCCCGCAGCAGAAACTTGCTTCACACCTGTCACGAAATTACTTAATTTGCAAATGCAAACGCAGGATATTTTTGTAGTATTCTCTTTTATAAAACTGCCCTTTGTTTCACCAGAATGAAATCCATTAAAGATCACATTTCTAACAGAAACTTGCTACAGAACCCCAGGCTGGCAGCAAGCTGAGTAGGCTGGTGGCGTAAGATCAGCATTTTAATTTAATTTTAAATGACGCTTCTTAAACATTTTGAAAACCTTGTTTACTTTACATACAATAGTTTAGTTATATAATATAGACTTATAGAAAGAGACCTTCTAAAAACGTTAAAATGTATGACTGGCACGCGAAACCTTAAATGAGAGTGAATAAATGAAGACTCGGCACACCACTTCTGAAAGGTTGCCGACCCCTGTTCTAGACAGTGTCAATGCTGACGATTATTACCAACTATCCCTGTCCATAAAAAGAGGAGCTCTGACATGTCTACTGCCCAATTGCTCACCACACAAGCAAGATTCAGCTGTATTCTTTTAAATCATCCCAGAATATTATCTTTTGTAAACATGTCTCCAATAAGTCTCTTTATGAATGGAAATATCAAGAAAATAATATACGCCCCTAAAATGTGGTATGGTTTATTTCGATGAGATACATTCTAACAGCACCTCTTTACTTACCACACAATGTCTCTTTTCTCCAATCTCCCAGACTTACACCTCTACCTTCACATGCTGCAGCATACGCATCTAAGGATGAGCAAAACTGTTCGGTATTTCCTCCTGTGGCACACTGGTCATATACACAGCTCTCAAAGTACAGCTGAGGGGGGATATACCAATGGCAAGCTTCAAAAGGCCCTCCGCTTGCCAAAATAACTTTGCAGAATTCTTCATATTCGTACTCATGGACAGGGTCACAGACTGGTGGTATAACGGCAACCGGGTCACAGCTGTGTTGAAAAGAGATAAGTGTCAACTCTGGTATGTGTTGAGCATTTCTGTTTCAGTATTCAGCAAGGGCTTGATTCTGCAAGGGGTTCCCTCAACTCCCGCTGAAGCCTATGTGCCCAATTCTATGAGATGCTAAGCACTCTCAACTAGATGTTGACTTCAGTGGAAGCTGAAGATGCTCATAATCTTGCAGGATCAGGGCAGATGGGCCAGATTCGCAGAGGCCAGAAGGGACCATTAGATAATCTAGTCTGACTTCCTGGACATTACAGGCCATAGAATTTCATCCAGTTACCCCAGCATTGATCCCAATAATTTGTGTTTGGCTAAAGTATATCGTCCAGAATGGCATCCAGGCTTGATCTGAAAGCATCAAGAAATGGAGAAAGACTGTCTAGCTATCTGGATCAATGTAGAATTTCCACAGACCTGAATTCTCTCTCATAGCCCGGGCTTAATTTGTAATGAAAGATGTGCCAGGACTCCAGCAATTAGGTCCTGGGGCTCAAGCAATTTCTTTTACTTTCGTAACTGATGCAGCAAGCCCAGAGGTGGCAGGGCTATGAACTGCCAAGCCTAGAGGTGCCGGGGATCAGCACTGGCAAGTCCCAGCACAAATTAAGCACTGCTCATACGAACATTCTCAAAGACCAAAAACAAAGGATGAAAAAGAATTCAAGTTCATGGTGTGGACTATGGAAATTAGTAAGTTAATATACAGGTAACATGGGCCCAGTTTTCAGTAAGGATGGGAGATTTCACACTGAAACCATCCAAACACATTGGTTATGTCTACACTGCCTTTTAAAACCCCTGGGAGCGAGTCTCAGAGCCAAGGTCTACAGCCTGGGGCTTGTGGGGAGCATGCTCCGGCGCTAAAAGCAGCAGTGTCGATGTTACAGCTTGGGCTGGACCTTTGGCTCTGGAGCTCAGGGAGCAGGGTGGGTTTCAGAGCCCAGCCTCCAGCCTGAGCTGCAATGTCTCTACTGTTGTTTTCAGAGGCGTAGTGCAAGCCTGAGGGTGTAGACCTGGACTCTAAGATTCGCTGCCGTGGGTTTTAAAATGCCCCAAGAGTTTTCAGCTGAGTTGTTGGGCTTCTTCAAAAATGAAAACGAAAGGAAACACAGCATGTGCAAATCTACATGATCCAAAATTGACCTCCGTGACACGAAACCACTGGCTCTTCTAATGACAAGGGTTTCCATGGAACACACATCTCTACACATATCTTGTATCTTGACCTTATTCCTTTTAAGGGTCAAATGATTTGTCTGCACTTATAGGTGTCTCCAAGTACTTACGTCCAATTGTCATCCTTCACTCGCCAGCTGTTGCCGAAATTATTTGAATCCTGTTCCAGGACTCTGTCTGGTGTTAGGAAATCATCCAGCTGGTTGTCAGTGTATGTGCCACACAGGCCACACAGCTGCCCCTTAAACCTTTCATCAGCATGAACAAAAAGCTGTTGGTCACCATCAAACTTCACCTGAATGCCAATAGAGGTATCAATGACCACATAGGGTCCTCTTACAGCTACTGTCATTCCAGGATGCAGAGTCACAGGAAGATCAACTTGAATTCCATTCACCTAAAAATAAAGGAAATAGCACACACAAATCGCTGAGTCAACAAAGCAATTGGTGACAAAGTCAGTGATATCTTCTGAGTATGTGAAAACTCGAGTGTTTATTTTGCAGAGGACCAGAGCTGCAAAATTCTGATCAGAACCAACTATAGATGGATCCTGATTTGGATCCATCTATAGATTTGGATCCATCTATAGTTCATTTTCTGATGTTATACTGTTACCTCTCTAGTTGGCACATGTAATCTGTTAGTTATGTTAGAGTGAGAAAGACACTACTGGTTTTGTAAGAAAGCAAGATGAGGAATTTACTCCAAACAGATCCTCTATGTAGCAGTGCTGAACAACATGGAGAGAGAAGTGGAAAGTTATCCTGGCCTCTGAAAAGTTATCCTGGGCTCTGCTTTACTTACGAACATGTGTGTGTCTCGTTTATTATTTGCAATACTGGAGGCAAATAACTCAGAGGACAGTGATTCAATATTGATGTAGTCAGAACAAAGGCAACTGTGATGATGTGTCCACCCCCACACAAGATTGGAAGGGGTTAAGATGGCCAGGCGTGCCAATTAACTCCACAGGTTGCACCTGGAGGGGGAGCCAGGGATCAGGGAAGTGATTGAAAGCAGGCTCAGCTGGGCAGGAACAGGCGGGGCTGCAGCCCCTCCCTGTGAAGAGGGAGGAGAGGAGGCTGCAGTTCCTGGAGTGAGAGGGGTCCTAAGGATGAGAGGACAATGGGAGAGACACTTCCAGAAGAGGGCGCAATGCCTGGCCAGAGCTAATTTCCAGAGCGGCCAGAAGGAGATGCCACTAGCGGAGAGAGCACCCTGTGACAGCAACCCACTGGTGTGTGTGTGTGTGTGTGTGTAAGGTATAATACTTACATAGACCTCTTTGTTTTTTCTCAAAGCAATGTGAATGTTTTTCAATGTGACAGCTACTGAGTTCAAAGCTGTCCAGGCCTGGCTTCCTCTGGCTTCATTCCTGGTTGTCACTGAGAACTGCTCAGAAGAATTTGTGCACGTCTCAACTATTGTATAATTGCATCCACCCTGGAAATGGTATAGTCTCCCATCAAAGGTTATGTAGTGTGGATCCCCATAGATGTGGCAGGTGTTGATGTCCAATGGATAACATCCCAAGATTCCATTCTGCACCTTGCAAATTTGGCTTGCTTCACATGTCTTTGGACTGCAGACTATGGTGTTGTTTCCCACACAGTTACATTGGCCTTCACAGTTTGTTTCCCAGAAAGTTTCCCCTCTCTGTTAGAGACAAGCAAATAAATACAGGTATAAAAGCTGAGCTTGACTGCAAGCTGTGAAATACTGCCCCAGACATCTACCATACATTAGAACAAACCTCATAATATTTGTCTTTGTAGAGGCAGCCACAATTGACCATGGAAACACACTGTCCACCGCTGAGAACAAACCCGCTGTTGCACTCACATCCCTCCACACAAGGTTTACTGCAGTTGCTTGCTGCTACTGGGTTGGAGCAGGTTGCAGGACAAGCACTAGTGCATGGATTGTAATGACTATTGGAATGGCAAGGAAGTGCTGAAAAACAAATAAAAACTCTAGACTCTAACTCACAGCTGAAAATCTGCATCCAAAACCCAGGATATTTAGCTTTTCAGTAACAACTTATTTTAAGAAAAGTTTTTGAAACCCCAAAGTCCCTATTTCAGGACTAGAAGATAAAAGAAAAATATAGTTTGTAGCTGAGAAGGACCTTAACAACCAAATACAAATACCCTGAACTCTGGGGAAGTTCAGACCCAAATCAGAATTTTGCATCTCTAAACCATATCTAGTTACTAGTGGATAAATCTCCATCTCACGGGGGGACTGGCATTAATTGACATACTGGCTATAGAAAGGTTCAGAACAGTTAGCCATGAACACTTGACTAAACTATCCTTACACCTGTGTGGGAGGAATTTGGTAGATAAACACTGGCAAGACAGTCTAGAGTCAGCTCAGACTGCTGCTGCCCTTTTTGTACCTGTCCTCAGACAGAGGATTTCATTCTCCCTGTTGTCAGTCAGGCACCTTTCATGCACATGACATTCAGGGGTTTTGTAATCTCAAAATATCAGGAGTGAATAATGGAAACTTTTAGAACTCTAAATCATGCAGTACATGGGTAGTAAACACTCTTTTGCAACACTAGAGTAGGTTGTTCAGACATTCGATTCCCTGCAGATACTCACGGCAGAAGGTGGCGTTTCTCCACTGGAGGAGAGTCACTCCAGCTTCCTGACACGCATCCGCGTAGGTCTCCAGAGCGTTACACAAGAGCTGCTCATTCCCATTCATGGCACAGAGGTCATAGACACAGCTCTCAAAGATGCTCTCAGGATTGATCACGGAGTGGCAGACCCCAAAGGGGCCAGGCCTCTTGGTTATCATGCCGCAGAATCTGTCTGTTTTGTAGAGGTTCTCCTGGTCTGCAGTGCAGGGTTTGGGTGGGACGATGACATCACAAGAAGGATCGTCGTCCTTGACACGCCAGCTGTTTCCCAGCTCATTAGAGTTCTTGGCTTGCTGCCCGTTGGGCATCATATAGTCATCCTGTCTGCGATTGTTAAAGTTACCGCACATGCCACAGGTCCTGTTGAAATAGGTGGTGGGCACCTTCACTTCCACCGAGTGATCGGTGTCATAGGAAACCCTCAGTCTGAAATCTGTCTCTAGGGTAACGTATCGTCCACTCCTGCTCACTGTGATTGACCCACCAGCTGTGGTTACGGGGAGAGTTGACCATATTTTATTGATCTAAGACAAATGAATCCATGAAGTTAGGTGTTAGAAATGTGATCTTTAATGGATTTCATTCTGGTGAAACAAAGGGCAGTTTTGTAAAAGAGAATACTACAAAAATATCCTGCATTTGCATTTGCAAATTAAGTAATTCTCTGACCATACATGTAGTTAGTGGGGCCAGTTACTTAGCTGGTGCAATTCAGTGGAGCCAATGGAGTCAGGCTGGTTTACACCAGATGAGGAACTGGCACAATATTTCTAATTATGCACATTTCATGAACAAATCCAGGGCCTTGTTTGGAAGCAACATGTGCATTTGTTTTTGCAGGCATACACTTCACTCCCTCCTTCCAGAATTGTGACCGAGAGGGTCCTGGAGAAAGGAGATTTTCTTACACCTGGCCATGCTACTGGCAACGCATACTGTAGTGCTCCTGTCTGATTCCAAACTCCTGTCTCTAATAAGTGACTGTTTTCACCCACCTGTTCCTGTGAATAAAGACTTGTCGGGTTACAAGTCTTTTATGTTAGCTACCAGAGCATTAGCTCCACCAAGTGGATATTAATAGCTCCTATGTGTGCCTAGATTTCTTTGATCCATTACTTTGTTATTGTGGCAAAGCCAGATACTCTTAATATCCTTAGCATTACACTTAACATGAAAGTAGAACATTCCATTTTTGCCTAATTCTGCCAAGGCTGCATTTCACCTCTGAATCCAAAATGTAATGGATCCAAAAAACTCACCAGTACACGATTTGGTGTTGCCTTAACTATTTCTATGTGTTGTCCATAAACCTCCACCAGGACTTTCTGCACATAGGACACCGCAGAGTACCCTCGATGCTCGTTCTTGGCTTCTACGTTGAAATAAGGCAGAGAGCTGGAGTTGTGGCACACTTTGGCCAGCGTGTAGGTGCACTTCCCCATGAAGTGGTGAGTCTCTCTGTCAAACGTGTTGTAATGAGGGTCGTTGTGGACTCGGCAGATCCCATAAGTCTCACGGTAGCAGCCAGGTTCTCCGTTCTGAACCCCACAGTAATGATCGGCTGGGCAGGCTGCGTTAGAACAGGTTACTTTGCTCCCCCGAGAGGGACATGTGCATTTAGAGGAGCAGGTGTCATCGGTCCAGAATTCAGCGCCAACAGGGTAGTGTTTGCCATTGTGCCAGCACCCGCACTGACTGCTGCGGACACAGCCATCGTTGTAGAGAAGATAGCCACTGTCGCACACGCATCCTTCCACACACGGCAGGCTGCAGCTGGCAGGAGCCATTGGGTTGACACAGGTAGCAGGGCAGGCTGCCGTGCATGCTTCATAGTGACTGTTGGCTGGACAGTTCAGTGCTGTAAATTGAAAAAGCATCCACATTAATCCTTTTAACTACTGATTTGCAATAATATATTTTGTTCCTTTTAAAAGTATTTTGGGCCAAATACCAAAGACGTTAGGCAGTTTTTATCCTCCATCAAAACTCCCAGTTCACTTTTAGTTTAGCCTTTTGACCACAAGAAAAGTCCATCTTTCCTGCAGAATATTATAGGGAAACTTCCATTGAATATAACTGAGTTAAGGGAAAAAACAAATTGCTTTTCTTGGCTACTCGACAGGTAGAACGTTTAGGTGGCAGGACTATATCAATGTGAATTTTCTATTTATTATTACTGTTAATCACTTAGTTTATATTTTTCTTCCTTCCCAAACTCCTGAATAATGTCACTAAAAAAAAATCAAGAGAGAGTAGTGGTTCGACTATAGATTATATCTGGTTATATACATATATTAAACCCTCACCACCACCACCACTCACTTCCCCACACCTAATTACGTTGAAAGAACTTTATTAAAATTGTAAAGTCAAGCAATCAAAGGTTAAGAAATGCCAGAATTAAGGTTGCCCATGTAACCTTAATTCGGCCCCCTTGTATGTATGCATTATGATAGCGTCTTTAGTTACATGATGATATACTATTTTTTTCTGCAGGACCTCTGCCTCATTCAGTGCACAGGCAGGACCAGCCCTAGCAGGGCATGGAACACACACTTTGCCAGTGGGTTTCACTGATATTTGCTGACAGCAGAGGAATGGTGAGACTTAGGATCTTGGGTTCCATTCCAGGCTTGGATAGGGAGTGTGCTCTAGTGGGACTCTTCTGTCTGCTACCCCGAAGCCTGGCTCCTGCTGTCATGTCCCCTCCAGCCCATCCCTGTCCCAGTTCTCTCTCTTCCCTATCCCCAACTCTCAGTCTCTCCTCATTCCTAGTCCCAGACTCCTTGCCCAACCAGTTCCAGTTCCCCCCTCTCAACACCTTGTCCTGGTCCCAATCTACACCTTTCCCTCCCATGGTCCAGCTCTTGCTTTGCATTTGAATCAAGCATCCTCCTCCTCCACGCTGCCTGGGCCAAATGGGGGGGGGGTATCAGAGAGCACAGGAGAGACCGACTCCTTGCTCTCAGTTATGTTACCTAGCCCCGCCCCGGCCCAGAGCAGCCATTACAGGGAAAGTCCAGCTTCACCTCTGCAGTTCTGGGCAGAAGCCTGCTTAGCTGCTCTTACAGGAGCTGTGAAGAGATGGAGCATGCTCGCTTTCTCTGTGGGGAGGATGCATGCGCCGTTTGGTCAGCACAGGGAGCTGTGAGGGACTGGAGCAGGCTTAGTGAGGACAGTAGCATCAGAGAGTTTAGCTGTTAAGCTCTAACAAGTGTCTACTGAGCATATACGAAATGCGATTTTTCAAAGGCTTCCTGACTTGGCCATATTTGGGCAGATTTTCACAGGGACTTCAAAAGGCACATTGCAGACCAAAGGCCATGCCCTGCCACATTTCACATTTCCAGTTCCCACTTCAAAGCATGGGGGTGCTAGAACATTTCAAAGAAGAAGTCTTTAAAATCTTTTAATACAGGCCAAACAACATATCTTTTCCCTAGCCACCTTCTCAGAAATGGAAGAACCACTGTGGCTGAAGTTTTTCCCAGGAAAATTCAGCCTGAGGCAGACACCCAGCATGGAAAATTTCAGCCCACCTGGTTAAAGTTTGACAGAGTTATAAGCAATTGAAAATAAGGACTTATAATGGGAAATGTCAGGCAACTTTAATAATAGAGAGTGCTACCAACCCCACCTATAATAATCTAAAGTCAGCTTTGGTACGTACGACAGAATGTTTCATTTCTCCATGTTCCCACAAGAATGTCTGCAGCTTGGCACACATCAGCATATGACTGTAGGTTATTGCAGAGGGCTGCATTGTTCAAATGAAGTTCACACAGATCATACAGGCAGTCTTCAAAATAAACCAATGGATCAGCTACGGAGTGGCACTGCCAGAACGGGCCACTTGGATCTGTGATCACCCCACAGTACTTGTTGCTTTGGATTAAATGTTTTTCATCATCTGAGCAGTTTGGGGTATGGCCAAGATCTGGGACACAGCTAGGAGGAAAAAAGATGCAGAGAAATTCACTAATGAAGTTTGCATGCATCTGAGGAAGTGAGGTTTTTACCCACGAAAGCTTATGCCCAAATAAATCTGTTAGTCTTTAAGGTGCCACCGGACTCCTTGTTGTTTTTGAAGCCCAAGCTGTTTTGCATAACGTATTTAGTAACATTCCAGGCCTTACTCCTGTCCAAGCATGACATATTTTTAAGAAAAAGTGTTTCTGCTGATTTTGGGTATGAAACAAATGGGGAAAAAATACACTGGGAATTCAACTTAGACATAGCCCTAGTGCCTTTCAATGTCTTAGTTGGAATCTATTTTGATTTGATAAGGGTTTACAAACAGATTTTGCACAGGAAAGACACACAGATAGGGCACATAAAAGACAAAAAAGTTTTCAAATTTCATGTTTCTAATTAATAATAATAAAAAATACTTACAGACCCAATTTAGATCGTTGTGATTTTTTTTTCAAATTCACTCTTTCTGTGTCCCAATCAAAACAGCTGTGAAACTTCACAATTACATGAACAATATGAGCATTGATATGATTATTTTTCATCCAGAAAATCTGGACATTTTTGTATCACAGTTAAAAAGCACTTAAAGTACCTACTCATTACATATCAATCCGCAAAGAACTAGCGTAATGCTTGGAGTCCTACCTGGAGTCATTATAAATCTGCCAGCTGTTGCCCAAGCTGACCGAATTTGCTTCCATCTCTCCATCTGGGTTAAGAAAGTCATCTGCTTTGTTCCCGTTGTAATTTCCACACATGCCACAGACTTTAGATTTGTATATACTGGGAAGAATCACTTCAGCTCTATGATCTCCATTGAACTTAACTCTCAGCCCAAAGGCAGTAGTAACCATGACGTACTGTCCACTGAAGAAAATATTTACACCTGATGGTAGTACCACAGGAAGTACCTGAATGGCTCCGTTCACCTGCATGCACAAGAAACAAAAAGGCTTCATTATTTGTCTTTAAAGGGACAAGTCTTTTATACAGCCTCCAAAGCCGTACCTCCTAATTTAGCTCACACATCCACTTGCAGGCACAGAATCTGCTTATGTGAGAAAACAGGCATTTGTGGGCACATAATAACTAGTTATAATATCTGACTACAGTAGATACTTATGCTGTGCTCCTTGAATGCCTGTTTACCACTTACTCAGCATTGTGCACATTCAGGTATGTCTACACTGCAATTAAAGACATGCAATTGGCCATGTCAGCTGACTTGGGCTTGTGGGGCTTGGGCTACTGGGCTGTAAAATTGCAGTGTAGATGTTCGGGCTCAGGCTCTAGGACCCTGTGAGGGGGAAAGGACCAAGAGCCCGACATCTTTTATAGCCTTGCAGCCTGAACCCCGCAAGCCCAAGTCCGCTGACATGGACCAGCTGTGGGTGTTTAATTGCAGTGTAGACATACCACAAAGTGCTGTGCAAATATTAACTAATTATAGGCTCATGTTCACATTCTGAATGAGCAAGTTTATGGTATAAGGTTCTTTAAAATCTGAGGCCTAGGATGAAGTTTCAGAACATGATGATTTTAAAAAAATCTTTAATTTTCTTTAAATATTTAAATATATATGAAATGTCAGGAAGTGCAATCAGCAAAGAACAAGAGAAACCAAGTAAAAGCTGCAAAAGTCAATAAAATTAAAATATATATTTTACACCTGTCCGTTCATTTTAGCTGCTAATTAAAGAAATCTACATATAAGCATAAAAAGGGGTCTTCAATTAATTTTACTTTATCTAAACATCATCATCATATATGAAATTGTTGAGATGAGTTCCTGTCTGCATCTTGTAAAACTTGCCCATACCGGTATTGCCCTGGCCTCTTCTTTTGTCATTCAGTGTTGCACGCATTCTAAAGCAATATGCATTTCCTCACCTTTTGGGGGCGAAGCCAGACTTTGAGGCACCTGCTCCCCTTCTTGGTGTAAACTTTGCTTGTGCCAATCAGAAACGAACACAAACAGGTTTTGGGCCCCGTCCCCTATGACACTTCTATGATGTCATAGTTGGTACTTTATGGGCTGCCTGCCATATACAGGCAGGGAGAGGAGAAAGAAAAACGAATCCTGTGTATCCTGTGTACACCCGTAACCGAGCCTGATCACCTCGAAGCCTCTCTCTCAGCTCACGTGTTTCAAACAGAGTTTCTATGTTTGCCGGTCGTTATGCGTTGGTTTGTATTTGTAAGTATCAGTTATTACTAATTGCTGCATCTTTGTTTATAAATATTGTTAGTAGATATTTTAGTCATTGTGTGTTTTAAGTTTCATTAACTCTATTAGCTAATCAAACGCTGCTCCCTTACCCCTTGTAATTATCCCCAATAAAACTTTAAATTGATTAATTTTAGTTGTGTGTGTGTGTGTGTCTGCAGTTTGCATCGTGACCCATACTCTCCTTGCACCCCTTACCAATATAGTCTATTGCCACGTGCAGCCTGGTAAATAACAGGCCTGCATTTTCTTTCGCCCCTGCGTGCCCGTGGCAATCCACAGAAATCAGTAAAGAAAGGAAGAAGGAAGGCACAAGAAGAGAAGCAGCTGGAGAAGTATGTGTAACAATATTCCTTTGTGTTCCTTATATGAGACTGGAAAGGTCTCACTGTACGTTTAAACCTTTGTTTGCTTGTCACATATATTACTGTGTTACTTTTTCATAAGAAGCTATTTAATGAATTAATGTGACTTATTCTTTGTTGCAAGTTTTGAGTCAAATTTACAATTAGTGAGAGCTTCATCCCTACACCGGCCCCCTTACACTGGGTTAAGATTCTGAAATGGTATAAAGAAGGGGCCTGTCACAGGATGACTAGCCTTTTGGGTATTTCAATGCTACAATATTAAAGACCTTGCAGCACAGATGCAGCTGGTCTGGGTCACCTAACTCAGACTTGGGAGCTCATGCTGCAGGGCTAAAAAATGACAGCATAGATGTTCAGGCTTGGGCTGGAGCCTGAGCTCTGAGAGGGTGTCCTGAACCTAATCCCAAATGTCTACACTTCTATTTTTAGCCCCACGGGCCGAGCCCAAGTCAGCTGACCCGGGCTCAGATTCAGTGCCGCAGGTATTTTAATGCAGTGTAAATGTACCCTTTAAAGGGAAATGGGGCAGCCCCACCTGTGCCATAACTAGCTGCCTCCCGGCCTGAGGGGCCAGGACTAATAGGGTGAGGTGATAGCCTGATGAACACCTGGGCCTCATAAAAAGGGTGAGAGCACTCAGTGAAAGGGGAACTACCAGAGGCAAGTGAGGATCCTGTAGGGCTGCGAACTACCCAGGTTTTCCCAGGATTGTCCCTTTTTAGAGGTAGCCATCTTGGGTATTCTGAAGTCTTCGCTCGACATTAAATGTCCTGAGTTTTGTCACCTCCTGTTCTCCAGCCCTTGGCTCACCTTTCCCTCCGAGTTCCCCTCCATGTGGGGGCCGCCCTTGGTTTGGACCCTTGCTGAGTCTGTGCATTGGGGTGGAAGAGAGACGGCCTGCCTTGGAGCAGGATGGGGGGTGTTGCCTGTGCGGGAGGCCAGGAATAAGGACACCCAGGCATTCTCCGTGGGTCTGGGGCAAAAAAGCAGTAATGAGGGGCCTGGTGTTAGCTTCGTGGGGTAGGGGAAAGCGGGGCCCGGCTCAGGGACGTGGGGTCCATAGCAGGCTCAGCGGAGGAAGTGGGGCTGGGCCTGGAGACGTGAGGTCAGTGGCTTGGTGGGGAAAGCGGGGTCAGGCCCGTAGATGTGGGGTCTGTCAGTGGCTTGGCAGGGAAAGCGGGGCCAGGCCCGGAGACGTCAGGTCTGTCATGGCTTGGTGAGGAAAGCTGGGACGGGCCTGGAGACGTCAGGTCTGTCAGTGGCTCAGTGGGGAAAGCGGGGCCAGGCCTGGAGATGTGAGGTCTGTCAGTGGCTCGGTGGGGGAAAGTGGGGACGGGCCCGGAGACGT